TCCGGCCACTATGGCCATTTGGAAAGTGGACCAGCAGATGGGAGGACCTTTCTCCCTGTCACTCTGTCTCTCTCTCTTTTTCTCTCTAACTCTACCTCTCAAATAAATAAATAAATAAAGCTTAAAAACAAAACAATAACACTCACACACTGGAGTGAGCATTGTGTCACAGTATGTTAAAGCACCATTTGAGAGGCCCAGATCCCATAATGGAGTGCCAGTTTGACTACTCAGCTTCTGATCCAGCCTCCTGCTAATGAGCCTGGGAAGCAGCAGATGACAGACCAAGTGCTTAGGTTTCTGCCACCTACATAGGAGACAAAGATGGAGTTCTTGGTCACTGCCTTTTCCGGGCCCAGTCCTAGCTGTTGCAGATGGAAGATTTGGCTCATTCTGCCTTTCAAATGAAGCTTACAGAAAGGAAAAAAAAAAAAAAAAAACAACTTAACACACAACCCTTTCAGCAGCAATGAGCTAAAAAAATTTAAATCAATTTTTAATAAAAAAAGTAAATACTAAGGTTCCACTTCTTAGAAAAGTTGATAATGAAATAACTTGAACAGGGGCCGGTGCTGCAGCACTGGCATCCCATGCCAGTTCAAGTCCCAGCTGCTCCACCTCTTCTTTTTTCTTTAAAAGATTTATTTATTTGAAAGGCAGAGTTACAGAGAGGCAGAAGGAGAAAGGAAGGTCTTCCATCCACTGGTCACTCCCCAAATGGCCAAAACAAGCCTGGAGCTTCTTCTGGGTCTCTCACATGGGTGCAGGAACCCAAGGACTTACGCCATCTTCTACAGCTTTTTCAGGCCACAGCAGAGAGCTGGATCAGAAATGCAGCAGCCGAGACTCAAACCAGCACCTATATGGGATGCCCTGCCCTTTTTTGTTTATTTTTTAAAGTGTTTCACTTCTGATCCAGCTCCCCGTCGAGCACCTGGGAAAGCAGTGGAGGATGGCCCAAGTGATTGGGCCTCTGCACCCACATGGGAGACCCTGAAGAATCTTCTGGCTCCTGGCTTTGGATCACCCAGCTCCAGTTGTTGCAGCATTTGGGGAGTGACCCAGTGGATGGAATACCTCTCTCTGTCTGTAACTCTGTCTCTCAAATAAATAAATCTTAAAAAAAAAAAAAAAAAAAAAAAAACCACTTGACTAAAATGTTAGTAGATACTTACTATGGGGCTGCAATATAACATCAACTATAGGAAAACCATACTCCAAAATAAGCATCAGTATCTCATTCAAAAGTGAGTAGTCCTCTTGAGAATGCCTTAAGACCGCTTCTAGAGCTGCAGAAGGTGAGATCACATCGTGTCATGCATGACTCTGCCTAAGAGTTCAGGACTATCTAACAACTGAGGTGATGAACATGGACTACACCTGGTACTGAGCAACTGAAATGTAGGCAGTGTGACTGAAAAACTGAATTTTAAATTTAGTTCACTTTAATTCTGAATAACAGCATATGGTGACTAGTTCCTATACTGGAGAGTGCTGCATCAAAATAAACACCAGCTTTTTCTAAACTTACTTTACTCATATTTCATTCCAACTTTTCTACTGCAAGTGTGAAAAGTGAAGTGACCAGGAGCCAGCACCGTGGTATAGCAGGTAAAGCTGCTGCCTGCAGTGCCAGCATCCTATATGGGAATCGGTTCAAGTCCCGGCTGCTCCACTTCCTACCCAGCTCTCTGCTATGGCCTGGGAAAGCAGTAGAAGATGGCCCAAGTCCTTGGGCCCCTGCACCAGCATGGGAAACCCAGAAGAAGCTCCTGGCTTCAGCTCAGCTCCAGCCATTGCAGCTATCTAGGGAGTGAACCAGCAGATGGAAAATCGATTCTCTCTCTCTCTCTCTCTTGCTGCCTCTTAAATCTGCCTTTCAAATAAGTAAATAAATCTTTTTTAAAAAAAGTGAAGTAACCATTAATATGTTGTCTCTATAGCAAGAGAACTTTTCAAACAGTTAAGTGACACTGGTTTTACATCAATGTTAATGTCATCAGAGGTTTTAAATCAAAAATTAAGTCAGATTGATTCCAATAATGGTACAGCTTTTCCTTCATAGAGACAAAGTAAAGCTTCCTGGAAGTTCATTCTGTTGAAACATCTGATATTATTGGGAATTCGATGTAAATTCATCTTCAAAGTTCAACACCAGGGGCCATCGCTATGGTGTGGGCTAAGCCCCCCCGCTGCGGTACCAGCACCCCATATGGGTACCGGTTCGTGTCCCAGCTGCTCTGCTTCTGATCCAGCTCTCTGCTATGGCCTGGGAAAGCAGATGTTGGCCCAAGTCCCTGGGACCCTGCACCTGCGTAGGAGACCCAGAAGAAGTTCTCTGGCTTCGGATCAGCTCAGCTCTGGATGCCGCGGCCATTTGGGTAGTGAACTATGGAAGACCTTTCTCTCTGTCTCTCCCTCTCTCTGTTTATAAATCTACCTTTCAAATAAATAAATAAAAATTTTTTTAAAAAAAGTTCAACACCAGGGGCCAGCATTGTGGCACAGTGGGTTAAGCCACAACTTGTAATACACCAGCACCCCACAACAGAGTAGTACTACTTCACTTCCCATCCAGCTTCCTGCTAACAAGCCTGGGAAGGCAGTGGAAGATGGCCCAAGTGCTTGGGCCCCTGCACCCACATGGGGAGTGAACCAGCAGATGGAAGATCTATCTCTCCTGTCATTCTACCTTTCTGATCAATATCTCTTAAAAAAGTGGTCAACACTAAATTCTTTTTTCCTTTTGAATATGTATTTATTTATTTGAAAGGCAGAGTGACACAAAAAGAGCTCTTCCACCAAAATGCTTTACTCACTCAAAGCCTGTAGGTGCCAGGGCTAAGCCAGGTGGAAACCAGGAGCCAGGAACATCATCAGGTCTCCCATGTGGGTGGCAGGAACCCAAGTACTTGGGCCATGGGCACATTAGCAGGAAGCTAGATGGTAACTGGGACTCAATATAAGATGTGAGCATCCCAAGGTGGCTTAACCTACTGTGCAACACACTCCCCATCAATAATTCTTTTTTTTTTTTTTTTAAGATTTTATTTATTTACTTGCAAGGCAAAGTTACAGAGAGAGAGAGAAAGAGAGGGAGAGACAGAACCAGTCATCCACTGGTTCACTCCTCAAATGGCTGAGCTGAGTCCAAGCCAGGAGCCAGGAGTTTCCTCTGGGTCTCCCACACAGGTGCAGGGGCCCAAGCACTTGGGCCATCTTCTACTGCTTTCCCAGGCCATAGCAGAGAGCTGGATTGGAAGAGGAGCAGCCAGGAATAGAACCTGTGCCCACAGGGGATGCTGATACCACACTTGGAGGCTTAGCCCACTACACTACAGCAACGGTCCCCGAACACTGATTCTTAATTTTTACAATAATACAAATAGAAATTTGATAGAGCACTTTAGGGAAAAATATCTTTAATATATTAAACTTTGTGTTTTGAAATACAGAAGTACTTGGAATTAAAATTATATTTCAAATTTATAACAAACCAATGTGAGATAAACAAAAACAGTACCATTACAGGAAATGCTTTCTCTCTTTGCTGGCCATCATCAATTAGATTCCTTAAATCTATGAGCCTCCTTAGAATGTTAGACAATAACAGTATTACTAGTATTTTTAGTAACAAGTCCTCTACACCTTAGTTGTGATTAATTCAAAACATTAAGAATCTTTCATCAAAGCATTCAGTTTAGGTCTTTGAAGCTTTTAGTGAAATGCAACTAATGATGGGAAGACAGTGACGTTTATCCCTACAAAAGCAAGCAAGAACTGGACAAACTGTATTCAAAAAGCTGAAATGGTAAATGGTTTCATTTTAAAATTCCCTAACTGCAGTCTGGGATATGTTGACCTGGGGGAAGAACCTTTGGATGGAAAGCCTCCGTTTAACTGTATACATCTGCAGGCTGTGCCAGGAGGAAATGGGGGAGGCTTAAAAACTTTGAAACAAAGGAATCCTATGAATTTTGTCATGAAAAATATTGGAGACACTGGTACTGAAGAAAGGCACTGCGAATGGAGATAAAAGACAACTTGTTTAAAAACTATAAAAGACCACAGAGGCCGAAATATTTAGGCATGTCCATTTTGAACCTGGGACTCCTCCAACGAGTCGAATTTGCCTTGACTTTGCCTGGGACCTGAGAAGCTACCAGAGTTCTTTTTCTCACTGGGAGCTGTCAGGGTCTAAAGAAAACAATCAACTGTGAAGATCTCACTTCCGAAGCATTCTGCCTAGAAGGCAGCTCTGGGGGCGCGCGCTCAGCTGGTGGCGGAGGCGCGCACGCCCCATCCGGGAGTGCCAGGGTTCGACACCCGGCTCCGGACTCGGCGGGACAAGCGGGCACCGCCTAGCGAGCAGACAAAATCCCCCGACCTGAGGACCCGAGAGGAGGGGAAACGCGGCTTGCATCTCGCCCAAGTCCCTGGAAGCCAGACTTTGGACTTATGCATTGCAACTAGCAAGTACGCGCCGGGTCAGACTCCGACACGATCCCACCTGCCGGAGTCGCTCCCGGCCGACCGCAAAACCGAGTGCGGGGGAGACCTGTTTTCGGATTTACCCCCGAAACATCTTTCCTCCCAACCAACCGTACCTCCCAGAATCATCGAAGCAGACATCCGTGTGTCCCTCCGTATGTCCGTATCTCATCGGTTTCTGCGTGGCCGGCATCTTCTTTACCTGCCCAAGCCACTCTTACTTTAAAGGGGAGGAGAGGGCTCGGGCTCCCCTCACGCACGCCGTCCACAGCCCCGCTTCCCGCACGCGAGTGCCACCAGCAAGGAGCCACACTTCTCCCAGGCGGCCGCGGGCCGGCGCAGCGAGCAAGCTCAGCGGTGACCGAGCCTCGGCGCCCGAGGGAAAGCGAGGAGCGAGCGCCCGCGCAGGGCCGCTTCCCGCGCTCTGGCGCGCTCGCCCCGCTGCGCCTGCGCAGACCGCCCCCTTCCCCGCCCCCGCCCAGCGCAGCTCCCGGTGAGGTCGCCGGGTGGTGGCGTCACGGCGCGCCGGGCGCGAGGGAAAGAGCCGGTGCCGGGGAGCGAGGGAAGAAAGGAGGGAGCCGAACACGGAAGTGCTGGCGGCGCCTGGGGAGCCGGCGGAGGCAGCGGCTGCGACGCCCGGGACGAGCACCGAGCGCCCCAGGGCGGGGCGGGGAGGGTGGGTTCGCTGGAAGGCAGCCGCCTCGGAGGACCCACGCGAGGTGCCGGAGCGGCAGGGCCTCCTTCAGCGCTTCGGCGAGCTCGCAGGGTGATGGCGATGGTGATGGCGGCTGCTGCTCGGACCGCCCCAGCAAAGCTGCGCTCCGGGAGGTGAGTGGGGGAAGGGTGGCCGCTGCCTGGCCTTGGAGGCCGGGGTCGTGTCCCTGCCTTCCCAGGCAGACCTCTCTCCAGGTCCCGGAACGGATCCACCCCTTTCCAGGGGCTTGGTTAGAAACAGATCTTTGGGCATCTGTTCTAGAGGAACGGAAAGCGAAACCTCCTGGAGCCTTTAATCTTAGCATCCCTCGTGCTGTCACCTTGTCACCTCTGTAGAGATAAAGGAGGAAAGAATTTCAGGTCTGGTGGTTGCTGTCGGTTCCGACAGGTATGGCGTGTTCGTTAATGCTTCTTCCTCGCCAACTCTATCCAGAAAAATCCCTTAAGGAGAAAGTAACTTGTTTTTCCCCATTCAGATCCGATCTGAAGTTCATTGCCATGCGTATTAGAGGCATTAGGACCGAGCTGTGTTGTTGAATACTTGGCTTCGTCCGTGCGATCTATGTGCTAAGGTGTTGGCCATCAAGTCTGTGCCTTTCTCGTTCTCCATATTGGTAGACCGGTACCTGGTGAAAACCTTCACAAATATATTCTTTCTTTGGTATTTATCTTGAGAATTTCTCTGGGTTCTTATGTGTGCGGCGCGCGCGGGGGGGGGGGGGGGGGCTACCTTCCAGTCTCAATCAGAGACTATTTTAGGACTTCAATGAGACATTATTTTTCCATTGTAGAGATTTCCCTATTGTTTTCTGTCCAGTTGCATTGTGAAAGTTGCAGGCGCCTTTAGACAAGCCGTGCAAGCCGTGCAAGCCGTGGTGTTCTTAACCTTGGTGGGAGTCGTTGTTTTTAGGGCTAGGACTCCAAATGGGCCTGCTGGAGTTTGTACATGAATGAAGAGGACAAGTGATTGGTTCAAAAAGGCTTTGAGATTTGTGGGGGAATAACGTGCTGTGAATTTCCACAAGAGCAGAGATACCTGAGATGATGTTTTCTGAGTGTCTTCGTTTTATTGGAGAGCATTTGCTTTTAGCTAGATTGACTCATAATTTTTGGTCCATATAGCTGAGTATTATCGGATAGAATATGGGTTAAAGATGAACCCTGATAACACTCCATCTCTAATTTGAATAAATCATCATGAAATTTCAGTGTAGTAGTCAGAGTCCCGCAAAAGAAGAATCTGCAAATCCTAACAGGAATTACAGCTGTGAAATGCCTTAGCCATGATATGTTGAAAACTATCAGTGGTCAATGCAGTCTTTCTTTCTCTGCCTTAGCGATCAAGCCACTTGATGATAGGCTAAAAAAATTTTTCTTTTGCAGATTTCACGTGTCTAGAAAGAGCTTAAGCCTTAGAGTCAAACATCCCTACATTTTCATTTTCACACTGACACGTTGTGTGACCTTGAATAAGCTGCTTTACTTTCCTGAATGTGGAATTCTCATCTCTAAAATGCAGATGATGCCTCCATCAAATTTTTAAAAGTACATGGGAAATATTAATGGATATAGAAAGCCAATTATTACCAATGTCTCCTGTTATTAACAAGGTATTGTAGGTGAGTGGCTTTGTTTACAGTGGGGTTTGTTTAAATCATTATCCAGTAAAATTTTTCAGATATCAAAAGAAGCATTCTTGCTTTTACTAGTGTAATTTGTTTTCACAGTTCCATTTGTTTCAGTTAAATGCCTACAAATTATAATGCCTTTAATGATTTTGTGATTTTGTTGAGGGAAATCAACATTCAAACAACATAGTGCAATAATCAAATGTGTACCCTAAATACTAACAAAATTGGTTATTTAAGATAATCTAGATTTTTAAGAAAGAAATGAATATAGCTGTGTCACTGATAGGGGTGTCAAATTTTTCCATATTGATTTATTCATTATTAACAGCGGTGTCTCATAGGAGTGGGTGGATGAATGTACTAACTGAAAATGATGCCAAGGTCGCAGATTTAGTTGCAGTGTAGGTTAGCTTGTCCTGCTGTGACCACTCAGGGTACTGTTAGACTTACAAATATTGGATACATTACTTTTCTATCAATAGTATTAGTTATATGACTAATGTATAATCATACAGCATCGATCCAAGAAACTTTATCAGTATTACCTTATGGAAGGAATTTGTAAAATGCTTTTTCAGTAAAATTATGTTGTTGATGTAAAAATAGTTAATACTGTGAAAGATAAGACTAAAGGTAACAGTAGCTCAGGAGGACAAAGTATTGGAAAAAAACATCTAAGGCAAGTTAGAGATCTGAAGTTTTGTGTATCTCCTGATTTTTATATGTCCTGAAATTTCCTAGCCTACTTAATTTATTTTGGGGTAAAAAATACTTGTGTACATGTAAACTTGAGGTGATATGCATACAGTAAAAGTCTCCTACTCTCAGCCACCCAGTTCCCCTAATGACAACCAGTATTTGATTCTTGTGTTGAATTGATGCTGTATCTTTTACTACAACATAACCGATATCTGTGTTTATAGGTAGAAAAACTAAGTCTCAGAAAAGCTTTGTCTAAAGTGACACACCTAAATGTCAGACCCAGTTTTGTCACCTAATCCAGGGTAGTCCATCACACTGCTTCTCCAAATCATAGCTATTGCCATAAAACTTAGAATTTATTATTTATTTATTTATTTTTGGACAGGCAGAGTTAGACAGTGAGAGAGAAAGAGATAGAGAGAAAGGTCTTCCTTTTTCCGTTGGTTCACCCCCCAAGTGGCTGCTACAGCCGGTGCGCTGTGCCTATCCAAAGCCAGGAGCCAGGTGCTTCCTCCTGGTCTCCCATGCAGGTGCAGGGCCCAAGGACCTGGGCCATCCTCTACTGCCTTCCCGGGCTACAGCAGAGAGCTGGACTGGAAGAGGAGCAACTGGGACAGAATCCGGCGCCCCAACCGGGACTAGAACCCGGGGTGCCAGCGCCGCAGGCGGAGGATTAGCCTAGTGAACCGCGGCGCCGGCCAAAACTTAGAATTTAATAAAACATATCAGGACATAAAAGCAGTTGCATTTAAGTCTAGTCACCTTTTATTAGTTTGTGGTTGAAACTTGTTACCAAACCTTAAATGTAAGAGTATGTAATTGTTGTAAAACAATGAAAAGAATAATCTATAATCAGCCTTAAAAATTTTTGCCTACCATTTCTGTTTATTTATTTACTAATTAAATTTGTAAGGAACTCCACACAACTTTTTAGTAGGAGCATGTTTAATTTTAGGCGTGCTGTAAAGTGCTTTATGATATTTCAGAAATGCTGGAGCTTCCTCAGCTTCACATTTTTAAGGTGTGTCCTCGTGCAGATTTTCTAGCCATGTAGGTAGCCTTTGTTTCCTCTTTCCTTTTTCCTGATTTTTGCCACTTTCCCACCTCTCGTTTTAAGAAATTTCCTTATTCTATGTGAAAAGTTCTGAGTATTACTAGGAAGTAGTCAATATTTATTTTCATTAAGCTCAATCAGTGTATGTTGCTTCCATACATTTTAGTACTGGCCATAAAAACACCAGGTAGCTAGCTGACATTGTCCAGATTTTACAATGGGAAAACCTAAGCTAAATGAGATTTTTGTTGTTGTTAACACTCCTAGTGAATGTTCAGCCAGCCCCTATTTGTTATTTTTTCAAAGATTTATTTTATTTTGGGGCCCACACTATGGTGCAACAGGAAGAGCTGCTGCCTGCAGTGCCAGTATCAGATAGATATGGGCGCCGGTTTGAATCCTGTTTGCTCTACTTCCGATACAGCTCCCTGCTAATGTGCCTGGGAGAGCAGCAGAAGATGACCCAAGTCCTTGGGCCCCTGCACCAGCATGGGAGACCTGGAAGAAGCTCCAGGCTCCTAGTTTCAGATTGGCCTATTTCCAGCCATTGCATCCATTTCAGGAGTGAACAAGAGGATGGAAGACACACACACACACACACACACACACACCCCGCCTCTGCATCTGTAATTCTGCCTTTCAAATAAATAAATAAACCCTAAAAACAAGTTATTTTATTTGAAGGGCAGAGTTATGGGGAAGCAGCGGGGAGAGAGAGATGGGTCTTCTGTTTCCTGGTTCACTCCCCCAAATGGCTAGGAACCAGGAGCTTCATCCAGGTCTCCCACATGGTTGCAGAAGCCCAAAGACTTAAGCCGTCTTCCACTGCTTTCCCATGTGAATTATCAGGGAGCTGGATCAAAAGTGGAGCAGTGGGATGCTGGCATTAAAGGCTGTGGCTTAACCCGTTATGCCACGATGCATCCACCATTGTTATTTATTTTTAATTGACAAATAGTAAGTGTGTATTTATGGGATACAAGGTGGTATTTTGATCTGTATCTTCATTATAGAGTCATTTAAGCTAATTAACATATCTTTCTTCACCGACTTATTTTTGGTGATGAGAATGTTAATATCTAATTTAGCAATTTTGATGTATACCATATATTATTAATTGTAGTCATTAACTAGTGTTCTCTAGAATACAGATAGGGTATCAGTGGCAGAATCAAATATTAGGAAAGCAAGTGGAAAAAATGGGGAGAAAAGGGAAAGAGGATATAGTGGTACTAAAAATCAGTGATTCCTTTAAAAAAAAATACAGTTAAGTCCCAGGGCACCCTGGCTCTGGAGCATGTAAAGAGGAGATACTTTAAAATGTTTCCTGACAGCCTTTTGTAATGATTATTTTTTTTTTAGTTAAGAGATTTTTCTCATAAACTTGCTTTTGTATTTTTTTTCCCTTAAGATTCCAGTGAATTCATCTGTTATCTGGTAATAGATTGTTTATGGAGCCTAGATGTTTCTGCAGACCATAACTCAAATATCACAGACTGTCATCAGAATGCTTCCAAAGAGTTCTTGAGTACATGAAGGCAGGTACTGAAATCATGGATTTGCTAGGGAAAGTCCCAAAGCTAAAATTCTACTTGAATAATCATTTATTTGTGAATTCTTTATGTAGCATGCTGAATTACTCTATAGGATCAAAGTTATTTCAATTTAGTATTTACATGAATTCTAGTCTTAGATATACATCAGCACTGTAGACAAAAGTAGTTCAGTGAATAATTAATGTGTACAGTAATGTTATGTTATCTAACAACAACAGAAGACAATTGAATTATCCAGAGAAATGAAGTTGAACCCTTTAAATCTTTTATTAGTGAAATGACCATAAGTGAGCATTCATTCTGTTAAAGCTGTCACTATTCTTTTTTTTTTTTAATGATTAAAAAAAAAGCAAGATGTCACTGTGTACTCCTCAGGGCTGTGTAACATACCTCCATTCATAAAAAATTGGCTAATCAAGAACCAAAGCCACCTTCTTCCAAGTAATTCTTTCTTCTCTCTTTAAAAAAAACAAAATCTATAGCTACCATCGAAGACCTTTGATTCATCAGCATCTTTCAAAGTAGCATCTTTGATTTCTGTACTACATAAGGTTGGTAGTAAAGCCACCTTATCATTTTTTTGTCTCTTCTAATTCTTTTGTACAGTTAATTATAGACTATTTGGAACAGTTTGTTCAGGTTTATAACCCCATTTTTTTTCCACTTGCTTTCCTAATATTTGATTCTGCCACTGTTCCCCTATCGGTATTCTAGAGGACACTAGTTCTGTGGAAGAATAAGTTTCAGATTTTACAGATAAAGGTAAAAAAAATACCACCAAAGTACCTTTTTAAAAAACTCATCATTAATTGTTGTACAATAAAAATTATTTTCCTCTCAACTAAAAAATTTTAGTGAGAGCAGAGTGGTTGAAATCTTTTTAATTTTTTTTTTTTAAGATTTATTTTATTTATTTGAAAGAGTTACGGGTGGGGTGGGGGGACGTCTTCCATTCGCTGATTCACTCCCCAGATGACTGCAATGGCCAGAGCTGAGCTGATCAGAAGCCAGGAACCAAGAGCTTCTTCTGGGTCTCCCTCATGGGTGCAGGGTCCCAAGGACTTGGGCCATCCTCCACTGCTTTCCCAGGCCATAGCAGACATCTGGATTGGAAGTAGAGCAGCCAGGACTCAAACCACCACCCATATGGGATGCTGGCGCTGCAGGCTGAGGCTTTAACTCGCTGCATCACAGCATTGGCCCCTCTTTTTAATTTTTAAGAATCTTGATTTAGGGGCCAGTATTGTGGCGTAGCATCCCATATGGACACCAATTCATGTCCAGGCTGCTTCAGCTGTAATCCAGCGCCCTGGTCATGGCTTGGGAAAAGCGTTGGAAGATGGTGCAAGTGTTTGGGCCCCTGCCACCCACATGAGAGACCCAAATGAAGCTCCTGGCTCCTGGCTCCTGTCTTTGGCGAGGCCCAGCCCTGGCTGTTGCAACCATCTGGGGAGTGAACCAGTGGATGGAAGATCTCTCACTTTGTAACTCTGACTTACAAATAAGTAAATAAAATCTTCGAATAAAATAAAATACTACAATCCATGAATTCATTCCAGTGATATACAAGCAACTGCACTACAGTGAAAGTCATTAAAGAAATAGACAAAACCTTTTGGAACACCTACCATTCCCTCAGGAATCTATCTGACGGTGAGTGATGAGGACATGTCAAC